TTTTTTGCAATTTAATCAAAATTGCTTCATACTGATTTTCACCATCAACATTATCTTTAACAATATTTTCTTGATTAGTCCAGTTAGTGCCATCAATCAATATAATTAGCTTTGAAGAACTCTCTAATATTGAATTTGATATTACTTTAGTGAGATCAAATAAGGGTTTCTTTTTTATTTAATGTTGAAGAAGATGTTGAAGAAGAAGTTGTTGTTAATAATTGAGATTTAAAATATTTGAAGCCTCTTTATTTTATAAATTAATTGAAACATGAACTAAAAAAAGATTATTTTTGTGTGTGTGAGAGAGAGAAGGAAATAAATAAATGGTTATAAGAATTTATAAAAATATGAATATGCTAACCTCTCTTATTTAAACTATTTTTTATGTTAAATTCAACTTTTTTTAGTCCTTTATATCTCCAAGCAATTGTCATTTTATCATCATCACCTACATCATGATCATAATCATAATCATCTACATTTTTATCACCTTTATCTTTCTTTCCTTACCAATCTGTAGCAAATAAACATAATGAATTTCTGGTACAAGAATACCTCAAGGTAATAAATTATATAGGGCATGCTGCAACAAAACCAGACAAAGTGAACATTGGTATTACCAAGAATTTCAGGGCTCAAACTTTAGTAATGTAACTATTATTATGATTTAACAATTTTATAATCTCCCTCCTTGTTTTTTTTTTCCATTGATATTGAAACAAGGTAAATAATCCTATCATGTATTGGAACATTATGAAAACATCACAAAAAAAAAAATGAATACTAACTAGCCAATTAATTGGATAGTAAGATTTTATTTTTGAAAATTTTCGCAAATAATAATTACAGTCAAACCTCGTCACAGCGGACCTCGCCACAGCGGATTTCTTGTTACAACGGATTTAAAATTTGTCCCCTTTTTTTACTAATACTAATTAAAAATATTTGTCACGGCGGATTTTATTAATAAATTCGTGCCACAGTGTTAACGGATTTTTGATTGGGAACCTTCTATATGACTACTAATCTTACCACAGCGGATTCACGTGACATATAAATTTATAAAATTATCCGAATTACTAAAATAGGCAACAAAATTTACAAAATTTTCTATTATTTGTTCAAACGTTTACAAGTAACAAAATTTTCCAAGTTTCTAAAATAATTTATCAAATGCTTGCGAGTAACAATATTTTTTAAGTTTCTAAATAATTGATCAAACGTCTGCAAGTAACAAACAATTAAATGAATTATTTGTTAAAAAGTTTACAAGTAACAAAATTTTCCAAGTTTCTAAAATAATTTATCAATACAAATAATTAAATAGATTGTATGTTCAAATATTTGTGAGTAACAAAATCCCAAGTTTCCAAATAAATAACTGAAAGTTTTTAGACAATAAAACGAACAGGATTTATTATCCTTCTCCAAAGATCAAAATTTCAAAATGTATAAATTAAGATGAAAATTTTGTTTATAATTTTACAACTATAATCGAAAAAAAAATAATGAAAAATTAATACAACCAAATATTTAATCTCATTTCAAAAAAAAGATTTTTTAATTCCTGCATGTATTAGTATCATGTGTTTTTAGTTTATTATTAATTACTATTGTAATCGTTATTATTATTATTATCTATTACTATATATTAAATAGCGGGTTTCTTGTCACAACGGATTTTTTTGGCTGGTCCCATCAATCCGCTGTGACGAGGTTTGACTGTATCAGGTTAGATTATATAGAATTATCTTCAAAGAATCCTTTAATTTAAAATAAATAATGAAAGTCATAGGTTGGCATCAATTTACTATTCTCTCATTGATCACTTGGCCTTTAATATTTTCATACTCTTTGAGCTGGTTCATCTTCTGAAAGTTCATCATTTTCATTACACAAAGTTGATGCAAGTTTACATGCAAAACAACCAGATATTTACTTTTGTGATGACATTCTCAAAGTTGAGCCTGGTGAGTATAGCCAATGTTAAGTAGCTTAATGTAATCAAACCTTTCGTTCTTATAATATTTTCTTAATAGGAAATGTAGAGGTTACAAAGGATGGTGTAATACAAGATATAGTTAAATATGATCTTGACACAAACAAGAGCCTTTGGGAAAATATATATGAAATCTATTATATGTATATATAACAATCTCCCACTTCAAAAAAGGAAAATTTTTCTGAGATGGATTTTATATAGCCTTTGTGATCTCTGGTATGTTATAGATTCAATTAGAAAGAAAATACATAAATAATCTTGATATTTAAATTTTACTTTATTTGCTCAAACAATCATATAAATATGTATGTTACTAGGTTGGTTGTTAACCAACTTTATATCTCTACCAAAGTTTGTGAAACCCAATATTATCACATTAATATGCAAGATTTCTTCTTATTAACTTCTACAGCAGGGTTGGCAATTGACTGATCCATTCAGAACTGATGAACTTTAGGCTGATTCATTCCATTAATAAAATACTAAAATGTTGCACTAATGGACCCAATGGATTACCAATAGACCACAAATGGACCACAAATTTGCCAACCCAGTTATATAATATATATCTCTAGATTTACAGTATGGTATATCCTACAGAGTTTGCAACAAATGAGCTAATTTGATGCATGAATAAAATTCTGAAAATGGTTGCAAGTGAAATATTCTTTTTGCAGTGTATGCTAATTATTTATGCTGAATCTTATAGTCATTTTTCGCTTAATTAAATAATTGCAAATGAATCAAACTGTGGAAACTATGTGTAAGGCAAAGGTGGATGATGCAGATCCATTGATTGATTCACTGAAAAAGTTTACATATTTTTACAATCCTTTCATAATCTCCAAAAAAAAATCATGCAACAAGAAGAAAAACACTAAGAAAAATATTTGTTAATTACTGTAACAGAGTAAATGTATGTAAAAAATTGATTTAGTTTAGATAGACAAATTCAGAAAGTTGGAAGATATTTGTGCAATCTCAAAATAATAAAATGAAAAAAATTTTATACTTTGTATTTAATCATGTTTACCTCACTATCATTGATTATATTATGAGAAAGTGAACCATTATTATAAAATGTAACTCTGCAAATTTCAATGTTACATAAAAACAATAGAATATTTTTTAGTACAATATACTACATATACAACTATGATTATGATTTCTCAGACTCAAGCTATTCTGAAACCAATTCATCTAACAATACACAAATGTGACAGCCCATGTTGAAAGATATAATGGTCAGTAGTAATAATGGAGGCAATAACACTGAGTATAATGTTGTTTAGATGCTTAATTTTTTTTCGTTGTTTTGTACTGCTGCATTAGATATAATGAAGATGTTAATGAAAAAGAATTATCAGCTCTACCTTATGAAAGAAGAGAAGCATCTTTTTACGAGCAACAAATAAATGGATTGTGAGAAAAAGAAAAGCAGTTGGAAGATGAAGTGGATACCCATTTAGAAGTCCTAGAGGTTGCAAAATATTGACATAAAAGACAAAAACAAGAATTATTAGATCAAATTAAACAATTAGAAGGGAAAATAAGCAATTGAAAGAGTTAACTCTCAAGAATTATTAGAGACTAACACAACTACAACAACAAAATGATCAATTGGTTACTCAAATTCAAGTTAAAAAAAAATGACTTTGATTGAAAATAAGAAAGTAATTTAAGATTGAGGAAGTATTTTCCTCTATATAAATGAAATTCATTCCGACTATACTTTAGATGAAGTTAAAGAAAATATCCTAGCTTTCAATATCTTATTGGTGGTAATTCAACAATAATAAAAACAGCAGCTACAATATTACTGAAAAGTAAAATATACATTCTTCCTGATTACAAACATAATCATAGCACTACTGAATCTAATATCTATCATGTTAAAACTACTATTTCTGACTTAAAGAAGATTTTGCCAAAGCTAATGATAAATGTAAAAACAATATTTCAAGTATTATGGTGATAAATCTATTTGAAGGTATAACTTTTTTAGGTTTTATAATTGTATGATTCATGTTTTCAAAAGAATTAAAAAGAAAAAATAAATCAATATTGTAATAATAATAAGGTTATTTTCCTTTAAGGTTTTTGGTTTTTGTTGGAGAATAACACACTTTCATCCTTTCTTTCTTAAATGTTTATGATTTTTTTCTTTTTTCTCAGTAAACTTCATAAGTAATCCTTTCTTTTTTTAGATAGACTTCAAGTATCCAAGTATCATTTATTTTGAGAGAGTAAGAAGCAATTTTTGGTTTCATAGTAGATTTGATGTAAATTAACTTAATATTAACTATTTATATATAGAGGTAATTCTATATATCACTTAATATTAAGAAGATAACAAATGGGATAATTTTAATAATCACATTACCAATATTCACTTTGTTGCAGTATGCCCATAATAATAATAATAATAATATTAACTATTAGCTAAAAGGCGTATGCTGTGCCACACCACCATCGAATCTTTCCAAAAATGAAATTTTGTGTAATATTAATTTGACTTGACCAAATTTAGAAATAAACATTCAGAATTTTCAAATTCCTCATGAATAAAATTCAATATTAATATTTGGGAAAACTTTCTGTCGCATTAAAGCTAGAGACCTGTATATGCAATAACAAAGCTATTTTTTTTAAAAAGGTAGGTCATAAAGTGATTCCTATACTTTTAAAGGTAATACAAAATTTAGGAGGTATTTAGAGGTTCTGCACCGTACAATCTGTATTGTAATTTCATTAATAAATATGCTACAAGTTAATTTATTACTATTTACTGTTACATAATATATAAAATCAATTAAACATTATGTAAATTTTTAGATATTATCTAAAGAAATTATTAGGTTGTATTATCCATCAGTTAGCTATATATATAAATTACAAATACTATACGTAGGTGACATAAACTAATCAACAAAATAACTTTTTTTAATTGAAGCAAACAATATCATTCAATCGTTCTCACATCCAGTTTACCCTGCTACTTGTGAAATTTTCTGGGATCTACAAATGGATATTCATAATGACAAGAGTTCTCACTAACATCGCTGTAACCTTTTGTTTCATTAATCTTTTTGGATATGAAGTCATCAATATCCGCATCAAAATAGTCAAAGAGCCTTGGATTAAGGAATGAATCTAATTCTTGACTAAGATTTAATTCAGTTGCCAGCGTTCTTGCTTCAGACAATGATATCCTATAAACCAAACAATCAAACAATATGCAAATAATCTTCATGAATTGACAACGCAAAGTATACTCACAATATATGTATAAAAAAAAAGCATAGATACCATTTGTAGTCCTCGGAGGTTGGCTGTAAACCTCCAGCTTGTAATATTGAATATTTGACCAGGCAATCATTATCTAGTCGACGAACTAATCTAACATCCGTAGGGCCAGCATTTACCCAAATGGAATAAACCAATATCTCATTGATTTTGTCGAGCTTTATATTGGATTTTAATGGTGATCTTGGTGTAAGTCGAAGATTATAATGTATTGATGAATTATTTGTCGTATATCTTACATGTTTACAACCAACAGATACATGTTTCATATATTCGCCAGCATCATCCAATATCAATCCTCTCTTTTTACTAGTCTTAAACTCCAATTTTAAGTCATTCGACATACGATAATTATTTTTAATCGTTATTTCATCATTTATTTTGTTTATATTTTTCTTGCTGTTGTTGGCGGTGGTAGAAATAGTATCGATGTTATCAGCAGTGATTTTTGTTGTTGATGAAGTGGTTATTGTGGTAGCGTCATTTGATGACAATGGTATTGAAGATGATGATGTTGAATATAACGATTGCCTGGTATTATTAATGTTATTCAAAATATCTTTGTCATTATTATTATTATTATTGCTGTTGTTGTTGTTAGCATTACAATTTTTAATGTTGGTGTTAATTATAATTTCATTTTTTTGTCCGGAATTAAATTCTTTCTTTACAATAGTGTTGTTGTAATTGTTGTTGTTGTTGTTGTCGTCGTCGTCATTAATATTGATATTCTCATTGTTATTGTTATCGTTATTGTTACTAATATTAATATTACTTTTAATATTATCATAACTATTAACGTCATTAGTAATAATGTTGTCGTTGTGAAAATATCTAGTCACCAGGTTTTGTATACTGTTATCATTATCAAAGATTTGATAAAGTGATCTGTTTTCTGATGGTATTTTTTCAAGTATAGCTTTTGATAGTTTCCTTTCTTTAACCCGTTTGAAATGAGTTGAGATTTGACCTGATACAGTTGCATACGGTGTTTGTCCACTAATGTACAATTAATATTTTTATCATTTAATATTTGCGTATAAAACCATAAATATTTTTACTTTACATACCATAATTTTGTTATCCCATATTTTAATATTTGATTAGTGATTTCTCTTGATCCTGATGGTTGATTTTTTAAGGAAATCAAAGCCTTTATTATTGCTATGAAAATCCTGTTATTTTGCTCAAATGAATCAAAGTTTGAAATAATGCTTGAAAAGATAATTTCGGTGATGTTAAGGATGTTTTGTCTATTTGGCATCTTTTCTTGTTGTTTGTTAGTTTTTAAGAAGGCCATTGAGATATATATTGTGATAATTTTGTAATGTGTATATTAGAATTACTAAAAAAAGAAAAAAATCTTTTATATTCTAAATAAATGACGTTTTGAGTTTTTTTTTAAAAATGAAAACTCCCAGTTAAAAAACCTCCAATTTTAATATGTTGTAAAGAATAATGTATTTGGAAAACCAAAAAAAATTCTTTTTGAAAAAAAAAAAATAAACTTTTGAATAAAAAATTAATTCGCAGAAATATAAAAAAATAAAAAAAAAAATTTTTCAGTTATATTTATATTTTTTTATTAATATGGTGATTATTATTAATCAATCAGAATAATAATGTTAATCATTAACAATCTTTGACAACCACCAAGATACACTAAGACAATGAAATATTATGTTATTACGTATAATAAACTTTACTAAAACGCCTACAAATTTATTATGTACGACTACTGTTTATCAATTATTTTTTCTTCAATCTCGACCAGTATTTTTTCTCTCTTTCTTCTGCAACAAGAGTTCACTCTAGTCAATTATAAAAACAAAATTTAATAGGATAAAAATTTTATGATTTAATATAAAAATATTAAATAAAATATTTAATTTTTAAGGTTTTAATCCGGTCCATTAAATTTTGCATTATTTTTAACGATTCTTCTGTTTTGAAATTCATTTTGTTCATTTTAAGGTCAATTTCTTTTTTTGGCCTATTAAGCATATCAACACATTTCCAAGTTTATCATAAATAAATGAGAGATATTCTGCATTCTCATTACTATCATCTGCTTTAAATTTTTTAAGAATATCACCAACTGACTCCTTATAGATTCTTACAATATATTATAATCAGGAAACCCGGTTTCTTCAACAATATCGAGTAGGAAGTAGATGTAAATAATTCAATATTTGCTATAATTTTTGCTTTTGAACCAAGAATGCTTCGACTTCATTACAGCAAACCAATGAATGTATTCATTAGGTATATTACAAATCATATGCATTACAATGATCCATTACCGCTTAATAAGACCAATCTAAATATTTATTATGTTATTATTTGTGAAGGAATTATACATTAAACAATAAGTTGTTGTAAAATATGTAAATATTCATGGTTAACAGTACAATTGAAAGTAAAGAATATATGCATCTAGATCTATTAAATAAATAAATATATAACTTTTAAACATCTAATTAATTATGTATTAGATTTTTAGATAATAAACGTAGTCACAAGACATTAAAAATAATAATAATATACCAAAGTAATTCCAAAAAAATCTTTAAAAGATTTTATTGGATTCAAGATTAGTTGTCTGAATCTTACTTTATGAGTCGAATTACTCCAGGGGACAATAGTTGTGATTATGATGAATTTCTATTATTATTAGACAATTGATTTGATGGTAAAATATTATGTAAAAACATCAATAAATATTATTTGTAAAATTAGTTGCCATTTCAATGTTTATTCCAAAGTGAACATTCATTATTGTAAGTAATCAATCCAGGATATGCCGTACATTCGAAACCCGAGCTCAACATGAGATATTTACCTTTATGAATCACTATTTTAATGAAAATTTTCTAAAAGACATATATAAATTATAAAATGGAAATAATATCATTAAAGTTTGAATAAAATATTTTGATATTAAGCCACAATCATTTTTTCTAATCTTGGTAATTGTGAAATGACAATTTTTAATAAACTGGCTGATATTTGACTTGGTATCTTTTTTAAATAATTGAGATAGGAATTATCCTTTTTTCTATAATAGCATTTGAGAGTATAAAAATCATATAAAATCATAAGGCTGTCTGAATGTTTTCTAATGTATATATATAATTCATTAACACATAATAGTAATTGCTAAATATTCCTCTATAAAGTATGCTGAAACAAGATGATAATTGGAATTTAATTCAATGTAACGAGGGTCAAAGCACATGATTGCTTTAAACAAAGGAACTGCTGGACGATTTGTCAACATGATTTTTAAATTTTTTGAATGATAATTTATATATATGCTTTAAAAATAATCCAAACTAAATAAAAACTGTTAATTATTTCCAAATTTCATAATTTACAGGCATTCTGAAAGAACCATGACTTTTGTTACTTACAACCTATAGCACTACTGGTTTATCCTAAAGAAAATTGTTAATTAATTAATTGGTTGGAAAAATCAAAAATCAAGTTTATTTTTTTACCTTTAATTTATCAATGAGGGTCTGGCTAATTTTTATTGGAACAGCAAATTTAGATTTCTAAAATTTGTGAGGAGTTTGTGTATAAGGTTTATCCAGTTCAGATGGCAGCTTCTTCTGCTAAGTGTTTATCTGATTTAATAATTTACATCAACATCAACATCAACAACAAATTATTTATCCTTTCTCTAATACTGATGAACATCAATATTATCATCTAAAACAGAAACGAGTTGTTTATCCAGCCTCAAAGGTGGTTTTCTCGAATACTGACGAACATCAACATCATCATTATTATACATAAATTTTTTACATTAAATTTTATTGTGTAAATCAGTACCAAAATTAGAGTCTATGGAAAAGAAATTTTTTCCGATTTCCAAATAATAATAATAATAATACAGTAATTGATATCGCACAACAACCTAAAAATAAAAACCATTTAGTTGTTTTCAATAAACTTGAAAGCAAAAACACCCGGTTGATAGACAAACACATTTACTTAAAGAATGCATTTATTTAAATTGATACGGAGAAGCTTTCTAAATGGCAATGTACATACACGTCTTTTTTATTTTATATAGCATAGTACAAAAGCCTCGCCATTCAAAGAAATACTTTCGTACGTTATGTTAATATTAGTGATTATTCAATAATCTTGCTACTTATTTCGTTGTATTTTCTAGCAAAATAGATGGCAGGCAACAAATTATGTTTTACTATTATATTTTATTAATAATCCTTTTATCTAACGAGTTATTATTAATTGCTGAGAACGCACCCAAAAATCAAGGATGTTGGGTCGAATTTTGAAAATTAATGTGTGTGATAAGTGATAATAATAATAGCAAAATTCCCGGGAGGTAGTCTCCGTTTTTTTCAAAATTAAAAAATGGACGAGTCTCTTAATCATTATTAACGTTAATATTAAAAAATTGTCAAGATTACTTCTAAGAGTCAAAACAGATTATTAGTAAATGTGTCCCGAATTTTTATATGTAAATTCGATCATTTACTAATTTTCTTTCTATATATAATTTATAAAAGGTGTAACCCCTTTGCACGTTGGGAAGGGAGGATTTGGATAAATTTCGAAATTCGAATGGTTCTATTTCATCTTTATTTATTATTTATATCTTTCTTATCATTTTCAATTTCCATTTCCAATATATTATTTTCTTCCTTTAACTTTAACTCTAATTTTCATTTAGGACATCATTGATTTCATTTTGTCCTTCTGAATTTATCAATCATCTTTAGAAACAATATGGGTGTAAGTTCATGTAGAAATTTGTTCATATAAGTCGTAATTAATCCATTGATAATATCATCTTCAACTATTAACTCTTCATTTAATTCTTTATCTTTTTCTATTCTCTATTAAAAATTTTATTTTCTTTATTTTTGGGAATTTCCAATTATTTGCCCCCTGAGATGCAATGATTAGTTTAAATATTGATCTTGATTAGTGTGTTGAGTATCAGAACTTTGATTATTATTATTTGATAATTTTCTTTCAAATCATTGTTTCTTAAAACTATTAAACAAGTAAGTCCATTATTATCATCATTTGAAAATTTATTATGTCATTGAAATCATTGTTTGTTCTTTCTCATTGATATTTGTTATTATTTGGTTTCCTCGTTGTTTATCTACCAATTTTTAATACTTTGTCCTATCGGTTGTGAATTTGGTCTGTTTGGATATTGCGATATTAAGACTTTTGTTGCTTCAGTGTCAACCGAGTATGACAACCCTCGATTTCAAACATTTTGCATTTTTTCTTTTATCAAAGGTTCTTCACAACTTTACTTAGCATCAATAGCAACAACTATCGCCAATATAAAAGCATTATCCTAAATTTTAGCATTTAGAAAAAAGTTGAGAAAAATTCATCACTAACTTGTGAATCGAATAACAACTGGGGAAGCAAGACGTCAAACATTAGATCTAAATAATTCCCAACAAAAAAATCCATTGGTTCAATTTAGTATTCCGAGATCATCAATAATATTCCACACTTTATAACGTATGTAAAGTAAGCTTGATCATGAGAAATCAAATGCCCAGACTGCGCAAAGATACATTTTACTAACACGCAAGCATACTGTAATGTTAGCCAGCAAATATTCGTGCGCTGCAGCGACTTTTCAGCGAAGGTCCTGAACGGGGCGTTTACAATACTAAGATTTGGTGACAAAATCCAACCCTTCTAATAGTAAAACTGATATATCCAAACTCCCACGCAAGTTTCAGCATACAGTGGGGTTACGGTTTATTAGGTGACCAACTATTAATTAAGACCTAAATACAGAGGTCTTCCCAAGGACAATTCCTCCGATTAACTTGACCTGCAAATGCATTTGCTCTGTTTGTTATAAAGTTCTTCTTATTATTTTACAATCCTCTAGACTCTAGGGAGATTTTAAACATAACTCACATGAATAAAACTGGAAGCCCTAAAGTTTCAAGCAATTGTGACACATACGATCCCACTCTTTAATTAAAAGATAGAGTCTTAGTTAAATTTTAGCAAAGTAATGAAGACTAACGAATGTATCAGAAAAACGGCATTTTTAGTTCGAGGCCAAATGGTGCACCTGCCTAAAACAAAATATGCTAGCATAGCTTCAAAATATAGGCGTAAACGGCTTGACGTTAATACGGGTGTCTCTTACAAGTAAAGTAATTATCAACATTAAAAGAACCAATTAAATTAATAGATCCATTTTCCAATCTATTCGAAAATCATTGGCGACTTAATGACCATAATTGTCGCTAACTCACCAGAAACATGTAGTTTGGATTACATGGGAAACAACTTTCCTACCCTGGATGTCAAGGACTACCAGCCAAGATTAGCGTTTTTAACTTTTAAGGAGATGAGAGTTTCCATCTTATTGTTATTCCTGCTTGTTGACAATTGTTTTGTTGCATTTTCTTAACGTTACTTAACGCGGACTAAATCATTTATATCTTCCTCACTCCCTTTATAGGTATGACTTTTTGTGAAATAAATAAATTTATTAATTAAAAAAATCAATTATTTGGTTTTGAATGCATTGTTAAATAATGAGAACTGGTAGATGATAGATTACATATATGTATAGGTATTATAAGATACATTCTTTTTTATATATCTCATAAATTTTATACATATTAAACAAAATACTGTATACAGTCAAACCTCGTCAGAAATTTTAAAAATCCGTTATGATAAGAATTTAATTATAGTCCGCTGTGACAAGGTTTGACTATATATTCGTTTATTAGTAAAACTCGGTGGTCTTGGTGGAGATGGAACTCTTAGTAAAAGTCGCAGAAACACGTAGATTTATAAATTTAAATATAATTACATATATGGGAGAAAAGATCGAGTTTGGAATCCATCCATATGATCCAAATTGGCAGCTGGTATTCTAGGTGGTATTAATCATATTCACATGGTTCTTAAATCCAAAGTATTATGTCTTGATGCTGCATCTGGTATTATTGTTGGTGCAAAAAATTTATTTTTATTATTTATTATTTGGAAAATAGGAGGATGGACGAATGTAGCCAAGAAAAGAACAAATGTAATACTAATAATTGAGGATGCACGACACCCATACAAGTATCATATGTTGGTTGGAATGGTATTTTTACCACAACACATATTATAAATGCATATCATTATCTAAAAAATAATGGACATGTTGTTATCCCAATAAAAGCAGATTGTATTGATTCCACCATAAATCCCACTACAGTTTTTGTCAATGAAGTTAAACTATTACAAGAGGAACACTTTAAACCTCAGGAACAATTAACTTTGGAATCATATGAACGCGATCATGTTCCAGTTGTTGGAAAATATGTAAAATCGATGTGTTGCAAATAATAATAATAAAATTACTACTACTATTATTATTACAACTATAATAATTACAATATTAAATAAAATCAATTTAATAACATTAAATGTTTTATTATTTAATTGAATTTGAATTAACTTTCTTCGTTATCTTTATTAGATTTACTAATGCCATAATAGTTATTCTGTTTTTTTGTAAGTTATAAATATCAAATTAATATTATTAAAAATAAAGTAGATTTAAAAAAGAACTGTAAAAATAGACAAACCCAATATTCACGATCAAAAAATCTAGAATTTCTTGAAGAAGTGCTCTATCAAATATCAAATATTTGAAAGAAAATATAATGTTAAATATATAGGTAAAAATAAAAACAAAAATTTGATAAATTGATAAAAAGACAAACCCATAAACTATCTCTATATTCTTCATCGATGCCTTCATCGATCTCTTCATCAATTTCTTCATAATTATTCCTTTCTTTACTATTATTCTTCTCATCGCTGCTTTTACCTTTATTTTTGCCGTTATTGTCACCATTATTTTCTTTATTTTTATTCGTATATTGGTATTTAATTTTCTTTTTATTTTTGCCATTATTATTCTCAACATCTTTTTTATCCATATCTCCACCATCATCATCTATGTAAATTTCTGTGTTCATATTATTACCAATATCGTTATTTCTTTCAACTTTATTTTTGTCGTTATTATCTCCATTATCTTCTTTATTTTTATTCGTATATCGATATTTAATTTTATTTTTATTTTTACCATTATTATTCTCAACATCTTTTTTATCCATACCTCCATCATCATCATCTATGTAATTTTCTATGTTTATATTATTACCAGTATCGTTATTTCTTTCAACTTTATTTTTGTCGTTATTGTCACCATTATCTTTATTTTTATTCGTATGTCGATATTTAATTTTCTTTTTATTTTTACCATTATTATTATCAACATCTTTTTTATCCATATTTTTATCTCCATCATCATCATCTATGTAATTCTCTATGTTTATATTATTACCAGTATCGTTATTTCTTTCAACTTTATTTTGGTCGATATTGTCACCATTATCTTCTTTATTATTATCATAATCCTCATCATCTTCTTGGTAATCATAATCCCAATCTTCTTTTAAAAATTGCAATAAAATAAATAGATGATATAATATAAAAAATAAAATAAAATAATTTTTAACTTTTTACCATCATTATTAGCAAAATTTTCACCTCTTTTTGTCTCAACATAATTCTTTTTAATAATTAAATTTTTTATTGGAAAAAAAACTATCGTTACTTTCTCCCTAATCACCATCACCATTATAATCAATGTAATGAATTTTCCTACCTTTATTATGCGTGTATTGCAAACCTTTTCAATTTTTTCAATAAAATAATCAAAATCCATTTGAGGTGCAAGTTGTTGTTGCCAGCTATGATAAATTAATAGGATATTACCCGAATCTTCTAACTTTTAGTTTTCGCATATTTCAATAAAAGAACAATTGAAAATTTGAAAAATTATAGGTTATAAATTATAATATATAAATCATCAATTACTTACAATATCTTTATCACGCAATTCCAATTTTTTTGAAGTCTTTAATAAACTCGGTAAGCCTTCCTTTTCATCTAACAAACTATAAATATAACATAAATAGATTAGTCAAATTAATAACTTATATTTGTATATCTAAATATAATTCTATTTATTACCGTAAAGGATCAATTGGTTTTACTCTGCTCATTTTGAATTATAAATGAAATTTTCAATTTTCAAATATCAATATTTATAAAATGTCTAAAGATAAAAAGTAAAAAAAAAAAGTTTTCATGTGTTTTTTGTACGAGGATAGATGTTTTACGCGTTTGTACAACGTAACAATTTGTCGATAAAGAATGTGTTGCATATCATGGAAGTATACTGTAATCCATCAAGCCGTATTCATATTAAAAGGTGGAAGTTCACAATACCATCACATATAATCACCTTCCAACATCAGTTATAATCTAGTCGGTTGTTTTTCAAATGTTCCTGATGCAGCAGCGCGACGCCCTATCTTCAAGATATATGAAGTAACCCAATTTATAAGAGTACTTGGAAGCATGATTTGGTCATATCTCGCAATATAGAGATTGGAATCGTCCAAAAAAATCCTTAGTCGACTACTAGTTGATCAAAATTTCTTTAGTCGACTAAAAATTTTTTTTAATAATAATATTTCGTTTTTTTTTTGAATCTTTCACTTTTTCAAAATACTTCCACACGAAACCATGTGTTACGATTCGTTTTTTTAAAGGTCTTCTGGAACCACCACCTAAATCATTGGAAATTGAAGCCAATAAACTATTGGACCTTGTATCGGAAGTGTTTATTCGTCCACATGTAAAATTATCATCAACAACACCACCACTATTGTCGTCGTCATCATATTGATGGTATTGATACTCTTCTGCATAGAAATTTACTATTTTGAATGATAAATCACAAAAATATAATTGGTCAGACAATAATAATATTAGCGTAGTATTAGTATTAGTATTAGTAGTATTAGTAGTCGACTATTAGTTGTTCAAAAAAAAGTTTAGTCGATTCCAACCTCTATCACAATATCACTGGTATCAATATAAAATGATTTGTGTTGATCATAGATGATGATTTAGATGTTTTAGAATGCGATTATTTTTCCTGCCATAATTAATAAAATAAGATATGGAGATAAACTCGTTAAGTGAGACCACTCAAAAAAGAAATGGCAGGTCTGATTTGTCAAGAAGTGCTAACGTTCGCGGTATTTACCATAGCACTCATAAAAATTATTGATTATTTCAAGTCCTTGTTTGCGAGGTCAAAGAGTTCAGATATTGGCAACCATAAAATCGAAGGTGAGTTAAGATTGGAAAAGGTTCTTTCACTCCTACATTAAGCTCTACCAACAACTAAAACAACCACACGGAAAGAACATAGAAACTATTTTTTATTGTATTATGCTTAATCAATCAGCCAATGAAATATTTAGTTTATTTTTATAAAAGTTTCTGTAAACTTAGATTTATAAATAGAAAATTTGGAGTTGTTAGCAAAAGTGTTGTAGTAACAGATAGTGGGTTTAGAACACCAGTTAGAACTTGATATTCATAAAATTCCATAGTGTATTATAATAATTTGTTAGGAACGACAATAGATCTGATCATACATATAACCCTAGATATAAATTTTTTTATCACTTTGTAATTTTAAACAAACGATTCTATTATAAATAATGGTGGTAGTGGCAAAGGACGGTCACTTTTTTATATATCTTCCTCACGCAAAAAAAAGCAAATTCAAAATTGTGCAAAATATAATGCGATTATTAGCAAAAAAAGCCATGGCTGGCTCGGTCTAAAGACCTCCTAAAATTTAAAAGCATAGAAGTTACTTTCTGTCCTATCTTTTAAAAAATAGCTCTATCGGTTGATAGAATAGGCCTCTAGTTTTTAATGTATTTTCCCAAAAAATTATTTTTAGCACACGTATTTTACTATGTTCACGAGAAATTTGAAAATATGAATTATTCTTTATATATATATTACTTATTAAAAATGAATGACATAACAATAATGAGAATATTATGCATAAAAAAATAATTTTGAGTAGTCGTGATGCGAAACATCCTAGCATCCTTTTGCATAATTTCTCATAATGTGTGTGTATCATTTGTAGCAATCCCCTTACACCATTCTTCTTCTGACCATTATAAGAATTGCGTCGAGAAACTTCAGTTTAGTCTAATTCCATAGGTATGTGCGGTTATTATTATTGCCATTATTGTAGTTATTGAAATTATTATGATTATCTCTTGGGTGCTCTTTCTGAACTAGATGGTCTTGTCTGTCGGTTGTTATTCATAACAGGTCTTTACATTCTAAACATTGCAATATGCTATAATTCTTAGTATCACTGTTATTAATAATGTTGTCGGTATTAATGTTATCATATTTTATAGCATGTGCTATGACCAGTTCCAAAGTATCCACGTTATCTACATTTTTGTTGCTGGTTTTAATCCATCAATGTACATGTAGTATGGTGGGAATAGTTGTGATTATCATTAAATACATTAAAATAAAAAAAGGTGGAGAGGCTTGTAATTTGGCTTGAACGGATTTATTTTGCCATTATTACCTTTAATATGTGACTGTTGAAGCGATGGAAGCATTGCCCTTCTTTATATTGTTCTATGACATTGCAGCAGTTCATGGAAAAGCGATCAAAGTAGTGGCATGTATAACATTTTGCATTGACATTTCACCTTCCCACGGAGAATTATTGCCAGATATTACTACCTCAGAAAGTATTACCGCTTCATATTCACGTTCATACATGTCGACAAGTTTATCTAAAATAACATTTAGACCATTGTTATCCATGACATCAGGGAGCTGGTGATGTGTTTCTCTTGTTCTAATCCTTACTATATACACATTATTAACTAGAGCTTAGACGAAACGAAATAACAATTATAATAATACTTGCTCATTTATATCCTTTTGTTTATTTTCAATCTCTTTCGTACCCCATTTTTTTGTCATTTTTTTTTTAAAAACAATTAATCATAATACAAAACCCCCTATTTTTTTTTGGATGCGACATAAAAGTTCTGAAGATATATATGATAAGCTTGTTGATAGCTAGAGGTTTATTTTTTTTTGTATTGATACTTTTTTATAAAATAGCTTAAACATCTTATATAAACATGAAGTGAAACTTACCATATCTTTCATTATATAGTGATGGATAATTATATAAGGTTCTTATCGTGAATAGATCCAAATAATCAATATAATCGGTCCATCTATCTATACAAAAATAACACATCCGATGCATCTTTATGTTTATAATAAAGCCTCAAATCGATTTCATTAAACTCTTTACTATCTAGAACAACCAATCATTCATCTAAAAATATCTTTATTGTTATCAAAGTTCGTAGTTGGAACCAATAGGCATTTTTCCTAATGCTTTCAATCCGTGTATGCTTTTATTTTTGGCTATATATTTTTTTTAAACTGGTTATGATTATTGTTATTAAATTTAAAAAATATAAAAATTATTAATCAATTTAAATTTAAATTTCCAAAATTAAAAACCTCGCCACTAATATATGTGAAGAAACAAAGAATGTTCCAGCAATTTGAAGAATATATATTAAATGTTTTAAACGAATTGATGAAGAAGAGCAAAAGTTAATCGAAAAATGCCATTTGATAAAGATTATGTAGATGAGTGTAAAAATGGATCAGTAGCATCAAAGCAAGTCAATTAACTATTGCAACACTTGAGAGATTGATTGATTGTATTATCTCATGCATTATTTGATTAAAAATAAAATTATTTTTAATGACTTTATTATTATTAATTATTATTAAATATAAATAGAATAACAAATAAATAATATTTTATGGCAAAACAATATATTTTTCTAAATGTTTGGGTATGGAATTGATCAGATTTTTACTTTCTAGCCATTTCCTACCTAATTATATGTAAAATTTAATTATTAACATTCAACGATAGAAATAATAATATAAAGTATATACATGATAGATAAAAGAATTATAAATGAATCAACTTACTGAATAATCTTGTTTGATATCTGTATGCACCATCACATAATATGGTAACAATTCTTTTACCTACATAATATTACACATATTTTTATTAACACTCCCCAAAATCACATTATCCTATTATTCAATAAATTAAATTTTCATTATTTATTATTTACCTGGGCCTAATGCTTTAGCCATTTCAACTGCGGAAACAACATTTAATGCAGTTGAGGCACCCATGTATAACCCCTCCTCATCCAACAATCGATAAACCATCTCAATAGATTTTTCATCAGGTATGAACAATGCGTCATCAATCAGATGAACGTCTTGTTTCAAATTTTCAGTTATACGCCCCTGTCCAATCCCTTCAGTTATTGAACTGCCACTTCTCTCGCCAAGAAGTTTCCCACCACTTTTAAAATAATTATATAATATTGACCCAGGTGGATCGGCCAAAAATATTTTTATTGAGGGGTTTTTTGATTTCAAATAACTAGCGATACCTGCCAGCGTACCACCTGTACCAGTCGAACACACAAATCCATCCAATTTTTTACCTTCTCCCTCTGTCTGTTGCCATATCTCTGGCCCGGTTGTCTCAATGTGTGCTTTCCGATTTGCTATATTGTCAAATTGATTGGTCCATGCAGCATTCGGTATCTTTTCTGCATGTCGTTTTGCTTGATGATTATAATTATCAGGGTTGTCATATGCTACAGCTGGTACTGGATAAACTTCAGCGCCTGTTTATTTATACACAAAAGTTAAACGTCATAGTGAGAGAAAGAGTTTGATAAATATATAGAACATATAAGACATTATTTATATTCAATATCTAACAAATTAATAAATTATTGTCAAGTACCCAACATTCTTAACAAATCAATCTTTTCTTGACTTTGTGTGTTTGGCATATAAATCACACATTTGTAACCTTTTGATCTACAAACGTGTGCAAGTCCAATGCCAGTATTACCTAATATTCAAAAAAACAGAATTATAAAAATTGCAAAAAAAAAATTAAAGTTCAAATGTATTTCTACTTACCAGCTGTCCCTTCGACCACTGTACCACCAGGCTTCAATAAACCTGATTTGTTAAATAATTAAAAATTTAAACCAAATTATAAATTAAATAATCATATTACTTTTTCAAAAATGAAAAATTGTGAAACCTTTTTCTTCTGCCTCTTTAACAACATATAAAGCAGCTCTATCTTTAACCGATCCGCCAGGATTCATAAATTCTGCTTTGGCCAAAATTTCTGATCCAGTTTCTTTGCTTAATTTTTGTAATTTAATCTAATGAATAAATAAATTAATTAATTAATAAGAATATTAATTAATGGTGGGAAAACAAAAAGACTTACTAATGGCGTATTTCCAATAGCTCCAAGAAATCCATCTACTATCTAATTAGCATTATTATTTTTTATTTGATTAATTTCAAGCAAATGAATGATTAATTGATCACCCAATTATCCCATTAATTAATATACCTTAGTATGTAGGCTTCTACATCTAATTGATCGATTTAATGAAGATTTAAACATTGTTAAATGTAAATTTTATTAGTGTAAGATAAAATGGGTTTTTCCTGGAGAAATAATAAGATTTAAAAAATTCAAAAAAAAATTTTTAAAATCTATATATATATATATTCGAATCTGAAAAACCCTGTATTTATTCCTGAGAATATGCAGATAAAAGTTGATCCTTCCAAATCTGTCCTGAAAATATCGGGGAAATGCCCTATTTGGGGAGGTTTATCAGATCTTCCCTAATTTAAAAATATACTATTTTTTTTTAGTATTTTGCATTCATTCATTATATGCAAGAGTTGATTAATAATCATGTAATTATTATTGTCCACAAATCCGCTATTGCAACTTTATTGGTGGGTTAGATGGATAACTACATAGTAGCCGTTGATTATGATGATAGTGTTAATGATTACAAATAATGAAATAGAAGAACTTTGTACTTTTAATAAACTAATATCAACGAGATAGTGGATGTTATAACATAATAAAAACACGTGTTACGATTCCCAATATTTAATTATCTAATAAAGGAAAAAATCTATACATGCGAGAATATATATTACAAAGAATTTTTGCTCGTGAACCTATCTGTCTTAAATATGTCCTGACCCAAACAATTCAAAATCGTTTTAATTTTTCAAATACTGCATTGTGTGATTCTAATGCTATGCGTTGTTATAAATTATTATATGCATCATTTTTAGTTTCCAAATACAAAACCGAGTGATTGGGCGTGTCCAAAATACTTTAATGAGAGCAAATAGTGCATTGACTATACATGTGGCCCAAATTGTTTTGCTGATGTCAAAAGTCAATTCCAAAGTAATTGTGTGTCATTCGCTATTAAAAATACGCGTCTAAAATATTTAGGTTGCATGCACAATTTTAATGCTTCCGTTGTTGCAAGTGCTCGGTCCTTCGCCATATCGATGTAACTAGATAATTCATCGATGGTATTTTTAATTGGCGAAAATATACTGTATTTTTCAACTGGCTAGAGCATATATTAACTGGAATTACGAAACGCTTGTATGTCAAAAAGTTGCGCTGAAAAATACCGATTATTATTATATCGAAGAAATTCTTCGTATAATTCTTACATTGGATAGTAATGATGCAAAAAATGCATATCGCAAGTTTTTTTCAAAATATATTAAATATATTGAATATAACATTAATAATTATAATTGCACCGTTGATTGACAATTTAAAAGGTTTGGTTGGATTCATCTAACAATTGAAAATTCTAACTATTTTTAGAATCTGGTGACTATTGAAAAAGAGATCTAATTTTTATTCTCTTATTATGTTTAAGCGAAAATAGCAATTACTTATCTCAAATGCTATTTATCTTAATATTAAACTAAATCATTCTAGTTGCCAAAAGAGCAGTTTTTTGGAGGTGTAGAATAATTTATATGAAATGTCTCCTCAATCAATTGAACGGTAGATATTCATTTTAAAAATTAAATCATTATTATTGACGAAGATGATTTGTACTCAAATGTTAAATTGGTATTGGACAGATGAACATTTTGAAAAAATAAATTTTGATGCGAGATTTTATTTATATCATCAAGATGATCTCTCAACCCAAAATTATTATATGGGGCAGGCTGCAGCAAAATAAGGAATTACTGTTTGCCTGCTTGCATTCTTATTATCGTTGAAGTACAAACGACAGTTTTTACGAGTACAGTAAAAAAAATATATATTAATATTTCCCATTAGTAAAATCCAATATTGGTTTTGATGCGGCAGCCTGTTTCTTTAATAAGCCCAGTCATTCACAAACCAAGATATTGTAGTAACATATCTTTTAGCGAAAGCAATATTAGTCTTAGAAGGCATTAGCTGAAATAACGAACGACATAATCCTCTCACTTGAGCCATAAAAACATTCTCCTATAAATTATTATTTTTAGTTTGTAAAACTTGCAGAGAGATGTCCGTCTATATATATCAAAAAATCCTCATCTTAATAAAGAGAAAAAATAATTATTTTGAAGCTTTTGTTGAGATGTTTCCAATGGGAATTAAAATACAAAAATCTATTTGCAATTTATCGTGCGCATGCATACTTTGATTACCTTGAAGAAGAAAAATTAAGTTGGGTCTCTGTGTTTGTTATTAGCATCAACAAATCAAGGTTGTGATTTATTTTTTGATTGCGAGAGGATAAAAGTTTTTTATAATTATTTGTCACAAGATGTACTAGGTATTATGGATCCAACATATAATACTGGGCATAATAGCAGCGTACGGATGCTAAAGATGTTAATTAATTATAAAAGTAACAAAGTAATAGATCCTATTTGAAAACATTACTTAAAGGTCGAAATTAAATGTTGAAGCAATTACCAACACCGAATCGAGAACTCGTACGAACCCATCATACAAAAGTAAAATACAATTATTTGTATATTTAAATGTTTAATATTAATTATAACTATAAAGCAAAAGCGACAGGCATGCATGTTTTGTGTTGTTGTGATAATCACAAACAAGATATTTGTTTGAAAAAATCAAAATTTTTAAAAAAAGAAATGTAATCTAGATTGGAGAGAAGAGAAGAAGAAAGAAGGTTTTTAAATGCATTTTATTACATGTGTGTGATATATATATATATTCGTTAAAAAGAAAGATTACAAAAAAAAAAAAATCATTTTTAATTTATTTATTGAACCTTTTTCCCTGAAATTGCAGCACGTTTAGCTTCAACTTCACGTTTGCGATCTGCTCTAAAGAAATTAGCAAATAATCCCAACATAGTCCACATATAAACCCAAAGTATAGCTGTTGGCAAAAATGGATAATCGTTCACGATGTCCCGTCGTAAAACCTTGAAATATACTATGTCATAAGTTGCCTGGGTCATCATCAGGGTGAATTGAGTCATTTGGAATAGTGTGATGTAACGTTTGATGAAACGAATTGGAAATGAAAGTGTCGTAGAAAGATAATAAGCATACATAACTACATGAACAGCTATATGTTTATATAGAATGTAAATTTAATAAATGACAAATGCCAAAATTCCAAAATGAACATTAACAATAATAACAGATGATTACCAGAATTCAAAGCAGCACTGAAATATGCTTCGCCATTAGGAGCAATGAAAACCACAAGCCACCAAATCATAAAGATTGAAAAATGATGATAAACATGTAAAAAGGTGATCTGTCTATCATTTTTTTTCAATATCATGATAAATGTATCCATGAACTCGAATATTTTTGAAAAATAAAACAACCAAATATATTTTGACATCTAAAAAAGTTAAGATTAAAAAATTAAAATCATTTTCTGTAAATTTTCCATTTTAAAAAAAAGTTTATCTACCTGCCAACCTTCCTCGGATCTTACTTCTGGATTTGTGAATAAAGAATAACCCTGTTTCCATGCCTCCGATAATATAGTAATGCACATATAAGCACTTAGAGATACCAAAAATAAATTATGTAAAATGCTTAATCCTTTCACACTCATTTTTTCTCTGCTGGACATTATAGCCTTACCACCAAAAACAACGACAAAGTAACCAATAACAATTAAAATCACGTGAAACGGATCCATAAGCGGCAAACGTGAAGATAATGGTGACATGTTGTTTTTTAGAAAATCATCAATGTTATTTGATAAAGATGGGAATAATGTCTTAAAAGTTTCTTTGACAGCATTTTCTAAAGGACTAACTATAGGGTCCGTTAGAACTCCAATTGTTTCTGCTAGAATTATAAAAAAATCTACTGGAGACATTTTATTATGATGAAAAATCTCCGATTAAAAATTTAAAATTTTTGAAAAAATATCCTCAAATTTTATTTTAGATTATTTATAATTATTATTTTTTAATGTTAAATCGCAATTGATCAAAAAAAAAAAATCTAAAAAAACTATTTAAATTATTTAATGCAAACATTAAGATTATTATTTAAAAAAATTTTTTTTTTAACTTTAGTAACAATCAATCAACATTATCATGAGGAAATATTATAATCCCCAAAAATTGCGTTTTTTTATCGCTTTTCGTGTAACTTCTTTGATCGACAAAAAATAATTTGCAAAATAGAGTAAGTACAATATGAAGGATAAAAACTCAAATTTAATTATTATGCTTGTTATATAGCTAGAGTTATATAATCATGTATTTTTCCGTAAAAATCATTTCTAAATATGCCCAACCACCCCAACCTACCAATAAAATCTCCAAAATATGGTTGTGGTTTTGCAAAAAAAAATACACAATCAAAAGTTATATATATATATATATATATATATCTAATATTATTACATCTAAATTATCACGTGATAAAGCAAATCACCAACCAGAATTACAATTCAAGTTACAAACGCAATTACATAAATTAATATCGTCCTGTTTATGATACCAAGAAACTAACATATCACGTATAGAATGATTATTAGGCTTCTTGTTACAGAAGAATGTACAACTTATTAACACGATTAATGATAGACCAATGATTACACGTATGAATGCTAAAATTATATTATTTGATGACTGTTCAGATTTTGATGTTGAATGTGCTTTTGATTTTTTTTTATGTTTTTCACCTCGATTATGTTTTGTGGTTGAAGTTGTAGATTTTTCTGTAATGTTATCAATTAAATTAAAAACAAAGTCTTTAAATAATAATAATGACGATGATGACCATCAACAAACCTTGTTTTACAATATCTTTGTAATAAAGATCATCAACACAACTTGCAATATTTTCATCATCTTCATCAACAAAATGAATTGAATAACCATTTGAATCGTAAATTAATTCTGCTCCAACAACTGCAACCGAAAATTTTCCCTTTCTTTGATGAAATTCATTTTTATATTTTTTAATTTTTTTTATTATTGATTGTTGTCGAGTGCTACTATTGCTATTATTATTTGAATCGCTGCCTTCTGATTCGTCTCTTTTAATCGGTACCTTTCCAACTATTATAGCAAAAACACCAAAATCCGATCCAAGCGTTAACTTTACTAGAGCGCTTTTGACTTTTTGATCGTTTACATCCTTGTCATCCTCATCATCCAAATCCTCGTCCTCTTCTTCACTATAATTGTTGGTCCATTGATTCTCATATAAATATCTAAATCCTGGCAATAAATCTTTAATATCTGTTAAAATTGTTTTTTTAAATCGTAGTGGCAGCCCATCACCAAATTTTTTTGATTCCAAAGAATAACCAGTTTCAAATAATTCATTTTGTTGTTCATTGATTTTTTTAATTCGGGCTAGATATGGTTCATACCATTCATAACAAATGTCCAAGAATATCATCATTTGTTTTTCAATTTCATTTCGACTTAATATGAATTGTAATTGACTGACCGATTGATTCATCTCTTTTGAATAAGAATCGTATTGTATAATACAAATCGATTTATCCAAAAATATGCTTGTAGGAAAATCTTTGGTGCCATTGATATCTCCATGTTTCATTGGTTTATCAATTAATGTAATTTCAAATTTGTTCTTTTTTGTTCTTTGAATTGTCTCAAAAAATTTCTGACAAATTTTTAAAATTGCAAATTGTAAATCTTTCTTAGCGAAGTTCTTATAATCGTCGTTCATGTCATCATCAACATCATCATCGTCACTATCACCGACTTTAGTATCGATACTTTTATTGCAGCACTCGACACATTCACAATCTTCCAACATTTTTTTTTAAAAAAAACAATTGTGTGTATCACTCACAAAGTTTTTTTTATTGTGTGATTATATATCACATGCTAATACATTATTAATAATGAAGCACAAAAAAAAAATATTGTGCAGTGTAATAAACTTTTATTAGCTTTCATAAATTGAATTGATTCTCGACAGAAAACTTTACATCTACAACATTCTTCTTGATACTTTGAATTACATCCATTTAATTATTTAATGGACGATATAGTTGATGATTTTATTCAACAGTTCGAAATATTTTTCCTTTTTTAATGGAATGGGGGAATGTTGTTAAATATTTGACAAAAGAAGGGTTTGGGTTTTATTTTACTATTCGTAACGGAAGGAGTCCATTGCAAAACAAATAAATACCAGTTACCATCTCTTCCCGTTCAATTAAGAATTATTATTTAATAATTTATTTATCTTATTATGCAACAATCTTTGTATTAAGTAAAAAAAAATAATTTTGACCGACTTGTAATCTTTTAACTTTCATTTAATACATTTACAAATTAGGATCTTTGTATAATAAACAAATAGTTGTAAACAAATGAGATATATATTAATATTTATATTAATAATCTATCAACAATATTCTTACCTTTAAACTCCAGCCTACAATCCTTCACATGCTTATTATTCACTATATCTTTATATTATAAAAATACCACCACATGGTACACCAACCTGTTTCAAATTCTCGATGACTTGTTTCATGTTAAAGTCTTCGTCCAATCGTTTATCGTGCCATTAATCAATTGCTGATGTTTAACTCTCTGTTTGTTTGCGGTATACTTTTTCATTTGTCAAATCTATTCTACCGGCTGCCTTCATAAATCTTTTGTAAATAGAGTCACCATTGTCGTTTGTAATAACATATTTGACATCAGAACAAACACACTTTCACATCAATCATTTGACCGTTATTGGCAGAATTTTATCTCTGACAAATAATCTCATAACACAGATCCTAATGCAAGCAGTCAATCCGGCCACTGAATCACCTAATGAGATATTTGGTCTGACTGGTGGTTGGTTTGGGAAAACCATTTATATGTCGAAAGCCTACCATTGCCTATATTAATTAATATGTATGTGCATATGTAAACATAAACATACATGCACACACACACACACACGTTTACTTTATGTATAAATAAATGTATATATGGTGTTTGGGTACCTCTTAAATTGAAGCATATCCAGATTTAACGCATATGGACCAGTTTGACCATATCCTAATACACGAATGTATATCAATGAAGGATTAGTTTTAGAAAGCTTGTCTATTTAGAAATCAAAAAAATTTAATTAATTGGAATCTCATTATTATCATTATATGTATGTATATATTCCTTTGAACTGTTTATTAAAATGATCAAGATTCCATTTTTCCATTGTAAAATACTCGAATCATCATCAGTCAATTTACATAAAAGTCTTTTATAATAATAAATAATATTCCTTTCAGATTTAAAAATAATAATAGTAATGGATAATTACTTTTTTTCCATCATCAGTACGGAACCAAGGACTTACCCCATCAATATCCAAATGTCTCCAAACTCCAGTTTTTTTTTGGTGGTTCTATTTTTATCTTTTAATTATTGATATTTGTTAACGATTTAATTTTTCAGAAATTAGTGTTAAAATATAAATAGTTACACGGGAATGGCACAGCTATAAACTAACTAAATAAATATATAAACAAGTTTGAATGTTTATTTTTCCTCTTCCTTATAGTAAATAGTTGATAAAAAATTATCTGGTAAGTTCTAACTAACTAATTTATATTCAGAATAACTAATACTGCCAAGTAAATTGGTACATAACTCACCTTTACTAAATTATCATTATCATTGTTATCGTTTTCTTATTACTTTTAAAGAAGAATTAATAAAACTAATTTTTTTACGAGAGAAGAAATGGAATGGAAAGGTCGCTGAAATCACCAATTGAATTTTTTATTGCAAATTAGTAGATGATTTTATTAAATTATTCATCACACATTTCCTTTTGGTGACCTCAGCGTAGTACTTGACCTATTACTTCTATATTGGGAAGAAAAGGCCTTGTAAAACCTCAACTTATCCAATCATAGAGTTTATGTTCATGGTTGAGGATTTTTATTTCTTTCTTTTAAAAATAAATAAAATAAATATTACTACTGCAATACCACTGTCACCACCATCATATTGAATTGCCAACTATCACACACATTGCTATTTTGCCATAACCATCAATTATTATTATGGAGGAACCAACTCCGACGTTAACAGAATTAAAGGAAATGACAATACTAGATGGACCCGCGGTCGAAAAGATTATGGACGGTTTTCTTTCTGCATTTAATAATGGATTGACAACAAATCATTTTACAATGATCCCTTCGTATGTTTCACGGTTACCGACTGGTATAGAGGTTGGAACTTATCTTGCTTTGGAGTTGAGTGATACCTATTTGAGGGCAGCTGTAGTAACATTGATTGGCCTTGGCAAAACAGATATCGAACATAAACAGCATGAAATTCCTGCCGAATTAAAAAATGGAAATGTTGGTGATTTGTTTGATTGGGTGGCCTTAAACGTTAAAGAATTATTAAACGATGTGGGATATGAGTTGGAAACTAAAGATTTATATGCAGGGATTAATTTTGGTTTTCCAATAAAGTAAGAATTACGTGTTAGCATATACATATATTTAATTATTTATATGCTTACATTTGCATTTATTTATATTTAATAATAATATTATTATTAGGCAAACGGCAATAAATCGTTGTATTGCTATGCCTATTGGAAATGGATTAAATTTGATGGGATTAGAAGGCCATAACATAGTTGAACTATTACAAGCTGCATTTGTTCGAAAGGTTCAACTCAAAAATATGGTTTTTTTATCTATAAAAATTTTTTTTAAAGATATAATTTTGTTTATTTTTTTAAATTATAATTACTTTTACTGTGTATGTATGTATGTATGTATATATAATGTATACATACACACACACATAACAAACACACATATATAGAATGTCAAAGTTAATGTTACCGCTATAGCTAACGATACAGTTGGCACACTTGTAGCAAATGCATACAGCGATCAAAATACTATAATTTCAGTAGTTTTAGGTACGGGAACAAATGCAGCTTGTATTTGTACAACATCATCAATAACAAAAGCCAAATTCCCTTCAAATGCACCAGATTGTATGATCATGAACACTGAATGGAATTTAATGGGAATAGAGTTTCTACCATTTATAAAATATGATAGGATCCTTGATTTGCAAAGCCCGTTCCCTAAACTTAAATCTTTTGAAAAAATGGTTAGTGGGTTTTATCTAGGTGAATTGGTAAGATTAACAATTGTTGATTTTGTGAAAACTTATAATTTATTTGGTGGATTCTTGCCAGGAGGAATGGAAATACCTTACAGTTTTTCAATTCTACAAATGACTGAAATCGAAAGGTACCCAACTAATCAATTAATTATTGTTAAATTAAATTTGAATTTGATCAATTTAAATTAATATCAACAATATCAATATCAATTAGTGATAGATCATCTGATGCTAAAGAAATTTTAAATGTTTTATTGAAAGGATTTAAATTTCCTGATCAAAAAAAACCAACTAAAAAAGATATGCGGATAATATCTGAAATTGTTAAAATATATTCTACACGTTCAGCTAAATTATCGGCTGCAGCTATTGGTTCATTAATTAAATTCCAATGTCCAGATTTTCCTTTGGTTGAACGTGACGTTATAGTGGCAATTGATGGATCGATGTATCATAAATATCACAAATATTCTAGTCGAATGAGTGAATATTTAAGAGATATTCAACATATTGCAGAAGATAAAAGAACAAAATTAAGTGATATTGAATATGGTGGTTTCATAGGCATTGCAATAATTGCTATGATGTATTCTCAATATTAATATTATTAATACTATTATGATTTGCCGATTATTACTTGATTTTTTTCAATTTTAATTACATATATGTATAGATACTATATTTAAATATTTATTATTTCATATAATAATATTTATTTTTTTGAATATATATATATAAATGTAAATAAAGTTAAAAAATTGATTCTTTAAACATTTGATTGCATAACAATAATAGGTTTCCACAAGGGCTTAATATAGAGGAGTAAAACATAATTGATTAATTGGGGTATTTCCACAAAATTCAGATGGTGTTAATATTAACATAAAACGCAATTTTCCGCAACTTTTCGTTTTACTTTCATTTTAGAATCCGTATACGGAATAAATACAAGAATGATGACAGTTTTATTGAATACAAAAAATTTTTTTAGAAAAAGGACGGTAGTTCGTTAATGATTTCCAAAAGGAGAGTTTTGCCATTAAATGCGCCTGGAGAACACGTCCGAGTTTCATGAAGAACTGGTATTCTCAAATTGGAAGTTGGTGTTTCTTTAGAATAACACTTTTCTGTATATCATTATCACAATCATCTATTGCAATTGGCTCATCAAAAGATTCATATTAATATACCATCTTATTTTTTGTCTCAATTTGTTACATTGTTTCAGATGTAGCAGAGTTTAACGGAATTGCATGAAGTAAAAACTGATGGGTTGTATACAAAATAAAACATTTTTGTTATTGATGGTTGCCATGATGAATTAGATTTAAAATAACTTTCCTTATACATGAATCAGGTGCCTTCAAAAATTATTAGATCGAGATCCAGATTAATTTCGATTCTGCATTCAGAAATTTCCATATTGAGGTTGATTTCTATCTGAGATTGAGATCAACATTCAATATATATATATATTAAGTAATAAGTCAGTAAGATTGAACAAATAAATATGAATTTGAATTTTTAGAAAATGGAAGATATCAAGTGCCAATTCATTTCTTTGATGTAAAGAGATGCAAAGTTGCATTTTTAAATATTAATAGTTGTCGATCATCTCAATTTTTGTTCAAATAGTGGTTGTATCCGTTGATTATCCAACACCCGGATAATCGATCAGTCAATAAAACTCAACACACGGATAATCGGTCATTCACCGAATATCCGCCGAGTACCCGCCGAATATCAACTGAATATCCGTTGAATATACTTTTTTTTTTTTTTTTAAGAAATATAAATAACAACAGATTCAAGTTTATTCGTTCGGCTGTCATTGTGTTTCTAGCTTCACTAAATACAGTCAAACCTTGTCACAGCGGATGAATGAAGATTTATTTAAACCCCGTTGTGGCAAGATTTACTGATCTTGCCACAATGGATTTTTATATTTCAATGTGAATGTGTAACAAAATTTAAAAATCCGTTATGACAAAGGTCGCTCATTTGAAGTAGAAGTTACTGCAATGCATAAATATTCTTTAAATAAGAATGACACAGTTAGTATTCATATTACTTGATATATTATTATAATAGAAAGAATGTTGGTGATAATGTAATAGTGGATAAAATAGTATTAACATGTTAATGTATTCTTTCAATTACGCGGATAAAAATTTTTATTTTTATATTTCTGTACCACGATTATTCCAGTGAAAATTTTCAACACCCGATTAACCAGATAATCGGTGAATAATCGGTGATTCAAAAAAATCGATGAGACGGTTTTTGGAACAAATATATTAATTAGTTTCTTAAAATATTCATTACATACAGTATATAAAATAGAAAATATCTAAACATACCCGGTGGGTATAATACCCGGATCATGTGTTTGTGCAACTTAACATAAAAATAAACTTTTTTTCATATTTATACATGACAAAAAAAAAATAAACTTTATTCTTTATAATTCATCTTCAACAACAAAAATGTCACAAAATTTACACTCATTTGATTTTATTGATAAGTTGAATCTGGAAGAAGGACTTACTTTCGTTTCGTGGGAACAGGCAAAATTATTTTGCATTATAAGAGGGTTTTAGTTATAGGATTAGGCTAGGGGTTGGCACCGTTAACCGGTTAAGATATTTTTTTAACCGGGTTAACCACCATTTATTAATTTTTTTTTATATATTACAGTCAAACCTCGTCACAGCGGACCTCACCACAACACATTTCTTGTTACAACGGATTTAAGTATTGTCCCCCTATTAAAACGTTTGTCATAATAATAACGGATTCTACTACTAATAATAAATTTGTTCCACGGATTTTTAATGGCGTCTTTCTATATGTCTACAGCAGATTCACGTGACATATAAATGTCCAAATTACCAAAATTGATAGAGGAAAACTGCAATTCTCCCTTTGGAAAATGAAATATCTAATAATGAAATTGAAAATTCAAGAAATATAGTCGAAGAGATTTCAAAATGATGTTAATAATATAATAGTTGTTGAGAGTAACACTATGTCTAAAGTTTCAACGAAAGATGCCGTAATTTCCTTTGAGATAACTGTGATTTAGAAATAGATTGTAAAGAATTTAAAGCATTTAAACCATTGAAGAAGTGAAATTATTAGATAATACAACCAAATATTTCAACAAATAATTTTCATTTCCGTATGTATTATTCATTTATTTATTCTGTATTTAGTTTATTAATTTATTGCACTATACTAAACCTCTCTATAACGAACTCTAAGTAAGTTTCTCTATAACGAATTTCCCTTTTGTCGCCCGTCTCCGATTCAATCTTTTATAATTAATTTCTCCCTATAATGAACAAAAGCAGAAAAATGCATATAGTGGAGAGAGAGCTTTGTATTATTAAAAAAATTTTGCCCGATCATCACCAATTTTGCCGCTGCGGACTTCTTTTCATAATAATAATAATAATAATAACGGATTTTTTTGGCTGGAACCATGAATCCACCGTGGCGAGGTTTGACTGTAATCATTTAGCATCTATTAAGTGTATAATAATAAAATTAAACAGGCGCGTGATTATTTTGTAAGTAATGAACGATCGAATTTACCAGTTAAAAAATTCCACGTGACTAAATTAAACGGTTAACCTGTTAACTCTTCATATTAATATAGTAATAGTAATAGTAATAGTAATAGTAATTTCTGACAAATCCGTTCGTGTAATTTGTGAAGCATGTGATTTTAATCTCGTGATTTTTAACTGCGGGGGGAAGCGGTCCAATTTACTCGTTCACAACATTTGAAAGTATTTCTTATATTTATTGCAGATCCACCAAAATTTAATTCTTTCTGCCTACTTTGCTTGTCACCATAGGACCAATTTCAGAATCTCTTCAATTTTAAAATAAATGAAAACCTACAAAGTGAACATAAAATAATATATATGGTTATAGGTATGTATATGAAAAGTAATAATAACCAAATTAACAAACATAATGATTCTAATGAATATGAAAGAGCAATTTGTTTTTTAGAGAAAGGTTGTGATTGTGGTTGCTCTTCAAGAATTCCCAAGGAAGAATTTGCAGAACTAAGGGAATCATTTCAAGCTCTTTCTAAATCAGAACAAGATATATTTTTAATGGCTCAACTTAAAGCCATGGATGGTGGGTCAATAAGCACTAGCAGACACCTTAAAAAGAAAACTAGACCTAATAAAAGAACTTTCTACATTGAGATCACAATATACCCCTTTGTCAAGAAACTTATCTTAATATGTTTGGAATTGGTAGAACTTATTTTGAAAATATTAGAAATCATTTGATAAACAATGGTCTTCTGCCAAGAATTCATGGTAATATTAAAAGGATGCCTCAATGGAAAAATAAAATGGTAATTGATAAAAATATTGCTGAAGTAGTAAAGAATTTTTGGAAAATTTTGCAGAGGTTCATGGATACCAAGTCCAGGAAGAAGTACCAATAGAATAGCTCAATCAATTATATTTTTACCAGCTGAGATGAGTTATAAATCACTCCACAGAGATTTTCTAGCTGGTCTAGAAGAAGATAATAATTTGAAATCTTTGAAGTATGATGCTTTCAGAAAATTATGATATCAATTGATACCAGAGATTCAAATTATGAGTCCCAAGACTGATCTGTGTGATACTTATCAACATTTTAGAGATGGTTTACACTATAATGCTTGCCAAGAGGAAGAGGCTAAAGATCTGCTCAAAAGATTTAAAGAACATCTGTCCAAGGCCAAATTAGAAAGAAATTATTATAATAAATATACCAAATTAGCAGAAGAATAAAGAAAATTAGTTAATCAAAATTATTCAAAGGGCAAAACACCATATTGCAGTATTGATGTCACTGCTCATTACAGTTATGATTGAGCCCAAATGTTCATGTACCACATTCTGATCAACAGGCAAGTAAAATAAATCTATTACCTTAGTCCATGTAAAGTTCATTTATTTGGTATTCAAGGTGAAGCAGTAAGGGAACAAATTAATTATGTTTTTAATGAAGATGAAATTATAGGAAAAGGACCCAATGGAACTCTTAGTATGATTTTTGATGGAATTAAGAAATTGAATAAAAGTGAAAAACATTTAAAGATTACTTGTGATAATGCTGGAGGACAGAATAAAAATAGCACCACTGTTTGGTTTTACTTGTATTTGGTAATTTGTGGTTATTATGAAAGTATTTCATGATTCCTGGACATACCAAATTCAAGTGTGATGGTAGTTTTTGTTTAATAAAAAAACTCTATAGGAAAACAAGAGTAGATTGTGTAGATCATGTAGTTGAGGTGGTGAAAAGATCTAGTCCAACAGGATTGAATAAAGCTCAGCGTTATGAAGGTGGAAAAGGTTTTCAATACTTAGATATTAAAGCAATTTTGGGAAGAAATTACCAAGCATACAGAAATATCAACATTTTCTTTTTGAAGCATCTAATCTTGATACAGTGAAAGTTCAAGAAGTTGCTAATGGACCTTTTACTGAATTTAATTTATTGAAAACCAAGAAAGCAGATATTTTTGAAGAGATTAAAGCTTTATCTATTTTAGTGTTAACACCACCTCCTTTGGGCCATAAAAGACAAGAATACCTTTATAATAATATTCACCCATTTGTGAAAGATGAATACAAAGATACTACTTGTCCAAGACCATTCTATACTGCCAACAAATAAAATGTTCAGAACAAAATCACCTTCATTACTTTATTACTTCTTTGCTGTCATAAGTTTAATAAGTTTAATCTTTTAACAAATATTGCTAGCTTTTTCCACCTTTAAAGTAAAAAAAGTACTAAAATAATTTATATACTTAATATATCATCAATAAAAAGGATATAAGTATATTAAAAGAATAAATAAATAAAAAAAGGTAATAAAAGAAAGTCACGACAAACATCATAAATGAACTTGAACAGAGAAACAAACAATTATTAGAAGAGATAGAACAATTAAAAGCCCCTTGCAATTTAAACAGTTGAATAATGAAGAAATTAGAGCATGAATAACTACTGTTTTAAGTGAAAGTCATTACACTAACAATCCTGATGTAGATGTAGTTGGTGAGATTATGAAAGTTTATTGTGACCAAGAAAAGTGGTCTCAGTTTTGTAAGTTATATCCTACAGAACCAGCTTGTAGAAATTTAATTCTTAACACTTACCAATATTATCCTTATTATAAGCAGTCAAGTCATTATTGGAAAGTAAGAAATAAGGCTAAAAGAGATATTTTTATTAACCTCATTAAATTAAATTCTGAAGAAATCAAAGAATTATTTAGAAAGTGATTAAGAGAAGGCAAAATAGAAGATAATTTAACTCTAAAAGGAATATTAGAAAGAGGATATGAAGGATGAGATTCAATCAATCAAAGTGTTATAATAATTATTGCCTTAAAAATCTTTCTCTGGATGAGTTAATTGGTAGTTGGAATGAATTATCTTATAAAACTAAGGAAAATTTTGATAAAGTTTTAAACAAAATCAAGAATATGAAGAGGAAATTAAGGAATTAGAAGCAGAACAAGCAAATTTGGAAGCAGAGGTAGAAGAGTTAGAAGAAAGAGTAAAAATAGAGCAGGAACAAGTTAAGGAAGTTGTAGCATGTGGTGAAAAATGAAGTAAAAATCAAGCAGAAGATATAAAAGAAAAAAAACAAAAAACTCAAAACTGCTACAGCAGACCTCCATAAATGCACCCCCCTTGGGACCAAGGGACAGCGTGCATTTATGGAGGGTGTGCATTTATGGAGAGAAGCAATTTCATTGGTCGCAAATGATACGCAATATTTTAAATACAGTAATACTAAATAAATATCCATTGTAGTTTGTTTTGATGAACTTACTTTTTTTTATATTGATATATATCTTTCAATTTTATTAACCAATTTTATTTGTTTGTAGCATTATTTTTCTTGCTGTAATAAAAATGAATGTACAATTTCAAGACCTTTAATGCTTCCTCAAGGCTTAATGTCATCTTCTCAAAATTGTCAGCAGGTACATTAATTTTATTTTTATACATTTCTGCAAGTTCTTTGATTATTTTATCATCATCTGGAACCTCACAGACAATATTTTCTTCAGGATATTCAAAAATTCATCAACTTGCATTTTATGAAAACATTTAGTGACACAAAGTCATGAAATTGGGATTGCATTACATATTGGAAATTATCCAATCAAATCAAAAAATTTGCCGATGATTTCTAAATTTATCCTAGTTACATGATGAATTTTATACATTAGTCATAAAGATGTTAGCCAAAATGGTTTTTGAAAAAATCAATTTCGGCAGGCAATTTCAGATTTACAATATTTTCATAATGATGGACATAAAAAAACCACCCAGAATTTTGGCTATTGAGTTAAAGTGTTCAAATAATTTTGAGTATAATTTTGGCAATTAATAAAATTAATTTTGGCAACTATGAAAAAATATTTTGGCATTTCGGATTTGGTGATGATCATTTATTAAGTGAAATAATTTTGGCTAACATCTTTAATTAGTCATGTGGGGTGCATTTATGGAGGGAGTTTTCATATGAGTGGGACTGAAAAAATACTGTGCAGTGCAGAGTATGGAGGGTGTGCATTTATCATTAAGTCCTGAGGTTGGGACCAAGACTTAGCATGCATTTATGGAGGGTGTGCATTTATGGAGGGTGCATTTATGGAGGTCTGACTGTAGTGAAAAGATTTCTCATCTAGAAACTCAAGTTGAAAAGTTGGAAAAACTAAGCAAGCAATTTGCTGATAGTGAATCACAGAATGAAAGTCTAAAAAGGTTAGATTACTTAGCAGCAAACCTTTACCTGTTGAAGAAGAAAATAAGATTCTAACTAAGCAAAGCATTTTCAAGTGATTAAAAACAAAAGCAAAGGTTAAGATTCAAAAACTGCAAAGTCTAATCAAAAAAGAAAAATTTCACAACCAAGAAACAATTGCTCAAGTAGAGGTAAAGTCTAAATAATGAGTAGATTACAATGAGAGAACTGGAATACACAGTTTTAGAATTGGAAAAAAGAAAGTAAAAAAACTTGCGATTTTTGTTCTAAACTTGAAAACAGAAACAATGAGTCTGTTCATCAAATAAGGTCTCACACTAAAGTGGGGAATGAATTTCAGATGACATGGTTTGTGAAAGGTGCAAAGAAAAGTATTGGAATGATGAATTGTTAAAGTGTAATAGGTGTGGTAGATTACAAATTAAGTTAAATTTTGATATTGTTACTGGTAAGAATGATTGCTACTGTATTAGAAACAATGAAGACTTGAAGAGAAGGAACTCCCCCTCTTACCTTATGAAGAAATAAACCAGTCTGCCTTTTATGAAAGACAAATAAACTCCTTACAAGAACAATTAAATGAGACTGAAGAAGCATTGGAAATTGAAAGAGAAGAAGTAGCCAAGTTTCAAGAGAAACCTGAAGAGTGAGGTAAAAGACAGAAGCAAGAGTTGTTAGATAAGATTAAACAACAAGAAGCAGAAATTATTAAATTGACTCAGAAAATTGAACAATTGAAAACTTTAACCCCTCAAGAGTTAGTCAATAAGTTAAATGCTTATGAGGCAGAGAATGAGAAATTGAAGAACCAGCTAGAACAATTACAACAGAACGGTCAACTAACTGCTCAAATTGAAAAAATGACCTTGATTGAAAATAAAAGGTAATTAAAAATTAATAAGGTTGAAAAAAAGTAATTATTTGTTTTAGTTATTCTGTCAGTTTTCTTTTTTTTCTTGATTCCTTACTAGAATTCTTTAATACTCTTTTTGAAAACTCTTTCCTCTTGATAAATTTCATAGGTAATCCTTTCTTTTTTTAGATAAGTTTCCAGTGTTTGAGTGTCATTTATCTTGAAAATATAAGGAGCAATTTTCTCACCTTGTTCCTTCTTCAAAATACTTCTGATAGTACTATAATTCTTGGTTCCATGGTATATCTGATGTAAATTAGCTTCATGTTAATTATTTTTGTCTAAATATTGTGATTACATTACATGGTAATAATACAATTGCGATGTTAAACACTATTGATCCCTGAAAATTTTGGTAACACCAATGTTCACTTTGTCTGGTTTTGTTGCAGTATGCTCCAAATTATATTAGATCCGAAAAACCCCTCTTACACATTAAGAGTTAGACCAAAAAGATGAATTATTACGAGCCATAGCCACAAAATTAAACTTGGCAGGCAATACAAGCAAAAGAAGTTTTAGATAAGAAAGTTAATAATTGTGGCAAGTGGACCAAGTTTTTGCTGCTGCCTGTATGTATGCAAACAAAAGTGAAATAAAAAAGAGATTGTTAAACTGAAAAATTATGGTAATATCCTTAGCAGTGTTATTTCTGCTCAAGAAATATAAGAATTTAGAAGCGGGATGGTGATTAAAGGTAATTTTGAGGAAGTGGGGAAGAATGCTCTTTACTTTAACGTTGTTTTATCTCCGTTGGAGGTTTACGAACTAGGATCGAAAAAAACAAACAGGTAAACCTTTTTTTTCTTACGTTATATTAATAGTACGATCGTGGCGTTTGGCACTTTGAACCTGAAATTTCTTTATGGCACCTGCCTTCAAATATAATAAATAAACAACATTTTTATTATTATTACAATGGTTTTTTTTTTTTTTAAATTAAATAAATTAATATATATAAATATAAATATAAATATAAATGACTATCAAATATACACATTTTTTGTAATTTTCTAATAGAAAAAATCTAATCTAACTATATAGGAAATTTAATTAATTTGTTTTAAATTTAATCATCTTTGTCCTCATCTAACAATATTTTCTCCATCCATCTTCACCATCACCATTTATAACTTCAATAATGATAGTATGTAATCCTTCATCGCAATCTTCAACAACAATACTATCATAGTCGACTTCAACACTAACATCGACATAATCAACATCGACATCATTTTTAGATTTAACATCATCAGCACTAGTTACATTAATAATTGTTTTAAACTTTTCTCCATCATCAATTATAATATCTTTTTTTATTTGATGCCAATAACAAATTTTTTGTTCGTCTTTATCCCAAATAAATAACCCACTAGTAGTCTTCACTGTAAAATCTACATTTAATATACCCCCAAAATGATAAGTAGGCAAGTAAATTTCAGTTGGAAAGCCTGGTGGTGCACTAGCAGAAAGATTTCGATAAACATATTTAAATATTTTTGCCCATGGATTAAATTCTAGTGAAACAGGTTCACCATAGGTTTTCATCGGAAATGGTCTTAATAATCCTTGTAATGCTCTACCGCCTTTATTTAAATCCTTAATGTTCATCTTTTTTGAGGGTTCCATTGAATTTAAACAATTATTAGGTAACTCAATATCATCATCTTGGTTTTGTTCATTACCTAATGAATAAATAGATAAATCCTCACCATTCCATTGATCTCCCCATTGAAAATTATTATCAGAACAATAGTTCCATATTGTATAATTCAATAAATTAGCCTCTAATGCACTTATATTTGCGTCCATTGCTTTGATTTGTTGTGAGTAATCGCCTGTTCTAGATGCTTCCCCATTATCCAGATCATACGGAATTCCTATCTCACCTATTAAACACGGTATATCATCTAAAAAAACACATTTCAAAATATTAATAAAATGAAGATACTAATAATAATTTTTTTAAAAAAAATTCTTACCGAGATATTCCTTAGCTTCTTCTTTAATCACCCCAAGTTGATCAGCAAAGTTTTTTTTAATAGCAGGTGTACCAATTCTCAAAGCAGGCAAATATCCAAAATATTTCCCACGTTTAACTCCCAAATAATCAAGATTCCACCAATTAAAGTGTTTTTGTGTTAATGTCAATCCATCATACCAATGTGGTGAATATATTATACGTTCCATTGAATCATTATTTGATTGATTCCATTTAGGTGGCAATTCAAGTACTGGTGGTTGTATAAAAATTATTGCATGTGTGTGCACCGATCTTATGGTTGATGAATACTTTTGTACAAACGGTTTAAAGCATTCTTCGTACCAATCTAATTCCTCACCGGTTAAAGGATTTGTATTAAAGTAACCTGGTTTTAGTAGCTCTTTGGATTGTTTATCCCATACACCATGTGCAGCCCATATACAACCTTTTGGATAATCTGATGATTTTTTCCAAGGATCATTACCTTCAGGTTCCTTTTCCAACCATGCCTTTTTACCTTTGGGATCAATATATATGTCATCAATTTTACTAAAGCCGTACCATAACAGGTCCCAGATATCTATTTTACAAGGTATTCCTTCTCCTAACAACATAGATTGAAAAAATGAAGGTGTTACACCTTTCCTATATTCTTGCCATTTTGGAATTTTATTCAAATCTTTAGTTGTAGCAAGTCCCCAACTTGGTTCACATCTTATGGCTTTAGAGAAACAATAAATAGCTTGATGTACAGCACTGTGATCTCTTATATAATAAACACGCATACACATATATAGAATGTTAAAACAAAAGATAAAATATTTGTTTTAAAATAATAATAATAACAAAAAGAAAAAAAACTAACTTGCTTAGTGAACCTAATCTTTTCCATAATGCACCATCATGAGGTGTTAAATGGGCAGCAACCAAATACAATTGTAAGGCCTTTTCTGGACATCCAATTTCATCTTGTATTGTTCCAAGTGTAAACCAAGCAGAATGAATGTTTGGATCAATTTTTATTACCTCTTGAAGCACCTCAATAGCTTTTGGATAGTCTCTATTGACATAATGCAGGTTAGCTTCTCCTACTTTAGCACGTAAAGTTGGTGGGAGTGCATGATTTCGAGGACCTCGCTATTTAATTAATTAGTTAATTATTGTTTTCTTAAAATAACAATTAATATTGATGATTAAATTCATGGATCATAAATTCACCTTCCCCTTTTTAATTTTACCAATCCCACTGGTAAGTCTTAAATCTTGATTAAATTCACTCCATTCTTGTTCCAAATTTTGCCATAAATGTGGAGCTACAATTCCAGTAGTAAGGTCACTTCCAATTGCTTGCGCTTGAGATAATAATCGACTATAATTATATATTATTATACGATAGACATAAACCACTATCATTATACCATTTAATTAATTAATTAATTTACCCAAAATTTTCATCGGCAAGTTGATTTGTCTCATCATCTGATAAAATCATCATTATCGTTGCCAAAAGTATCATCATGCATAAATATTGTATCCTCTTCTTCGTCCTCATCAGACAAAGTTGCAGCAGTAAATTCAGGGGTTCTTTTATGGAAGCTTCAGCTTACAAATGAACTAAATCAGCATCATCAATAGTACTATTAAGTAGATCTAGAAAAGTAGTTGGAATTATTCTTGTATTTGAGCCATTTGGATTTTCATTTTTCTCGTATGAATTATTATTTTCTTCCATTGCCTTTAAATTGTATATCATAACATAATATTATTTATTGCCACGTGGCCAGACATTTTAAAAAATCGCAATAAAATTTATACTATTTATTTATTATATTATTAATAACAATAATTTGTTAAATTTTTGAACAATCTCAAAATCTAAATCTTTCATTTAATATTAGCAGCGTCAGTTAAGCCATCATAAAAGGCCTTAACCCTTGGATGAACCATCACCTTGGATTGATGGAAATTTGACACTTGTAAGGAATTTGCTGAAGTTGCACGTGAAAGCGCTACATATGTTTGACCTATTTAAAAGAGTAATTTAAACAAATATAATAATTATTATTTTTTTTAAATTTATTAACCAAACTTTTTTA